GGAATTCAATTCTATACCTTTGCTTCATATGTACTTCCATGTCAGATGCCATTTTGTCAGATGGCCCCTCTGCTGCCATCTCTCACACAGCAGAAAAATGTAGTGGAATATTGGTGCGAAGGTTCAATCTCTACTGCCATACCACCAACACCCACCTTTGATGTCATGGGCCAACATAACAAAAGATGACACACTACTTTAGGAGCAGCTCTCATATTTAGGGTGGGTAGGAGAAAATGTATTAGAAACATTTGATTTCTCTTAAAACTTCTAGCAGAAAACAAGCTAAATACATACTTTTATTTAGTTTACATTTTAATACCTACAATCCATTCAGTACTTTGTATCATATTTAAAAGTGAAATTAAGAAATAAGTGGTGGGTTTTTTTGCCTTTTTTTTTTTTTTTTAAATCTTTCCTATCCCTTCATGCTCCTGGTCAACTCTGTGCAACTCAGGGAATGACAGAAATGGAAGTAACTTCAGTTGAATGCAAATTAGTATTTATCTAAAATAAATATTTTAGATCAGTAGATCTAAAGATCAGTAGAGTAGAACAAGTGCTAAAATCAGGCTTTCTGTAAACGTGGTAGCTACGTAAATATAACTATCAATGTGCTCAGGGTTTCTAAGTGCCATGATTCTGTATGTAAGCTTTCATAACATTCTACATGTCTTCAGAGTAGGGTGGAAAAAACAGGATTTATTTTCTTGGAATACAGAAATGAATTACATACTGACCTCTGAGAAGAAAAAAAAATATGTAATGGCTGTACACAGTAAGAAAAGCACAATATATTTATTTCCTGCCTCTTTATTTAGCTTTTCCTAACTACTGCAATCCATGGAGTGTGATGCTGTATGGCAACATCACTAAATTCCCAAACCCAGTTCATCTCTAAAATAGGCCAAGCTGTACAGAGATTAAGAAAAGTATTATGACCTCATAATTAAGAGCTATATAAAAAAATGAATGCACAGAGAGAGCTAAACTATGATTATGCAAGCAACCTTAATTCTGGCATTTCTTCATGCTATAGCATTTGGCATTCAGACACTTAACTTTTCTGTTAGAAAACATAAAAACTTATAACCTTATGTTTTAATATATTAAATGCAATCTTTCAATATTACTCGGAAAAATTAAGGGATGTGTCAAGAAACCCAAACAGAAACTACGTCAACTGCAACTGTGAAAGCACACACAAACTGTTCTTGGTCACATTCACATGGAACCAAGGACACTACAGTGAGAGGAGAGCTCCTGCATCTGGTCACGCAGGTGGGGTCACACACAAGAAGATCCCTAAGGGTTGGGATGAGAGCATGTGCATAAGGGCTGCTCTGGACCCTGATCCTAATTGATTACCATTATCCAGCACCATGAGTCTGTCTTGTCTCCCAGTAACAGGCAGCAGCACGTCTACCTATCCTCACTTACAATTTTAGCCATGCATCTTTCGCAGAAAAGAAGGCCAATAAACTAAGAATGGGAGTTCAGTAGATCTTATTCTGCTTCTTTGCTGCTTGTGGGATCCACAGGCATCATTAGTAGAAGCTTTTAAAAGCCTTGAAGCAAATGGTGCTCTTTCTTCATTACATGACCATTTGCAGAACTCTCTATTGAGGGTCTTTATTCAGACATTGTAGCTTAGTCACACAGATGCAAATGAGACTTCTGCCTGAAGAAGGTCAAAAGTGCTGGGCATACTGTTAACTTTTTAGATTCTTTTTTCTTTTTTCTTTTTTATTTTTCTTCCAAGACAGCTGTATCTAGTTCCTTGTTTTCTTTCCTGGTATATTTAAACAAGTCATTGAATCACCACAGTTTCTCATATATGCCTTCTATTATTTTTCATTTTTTTTTCATTTCACTAGTGTACTTCAGATTTGTTTCGTTTAAGATGAAAGGTTATGCTTTTCATACGATACACTGACTTAGCCACTGGCCAAACTAAATACGACTACTTAGAGATCCCGAAAGCTTAAAGTCTTACTTATACTGAGAACGGCACTCACCAAAAATCATAGTAACACAGACTAATTAAATATTATTGAAGTGTGACACTGAAAAGTAAGTCTCAGAAGTCGGCTCTCTAGCTATTCACACACAGATCCATATAATAAGGTTAAGAAAAACTGATTGCATTTTCTTTGTTAGAAATCTTCTCAGACATAAATATTTCAGCTTGCTGTGAAAGAGCATTAGCAAAGGCATTAACTATGCCTGAAAGTTGGAAAATACTTAGAGTGCGACATCATTTTCCACAGCATACATATGGCTGTAATGGTAGCATGTAAACAGACTTGTATGGCTATTCACTAATGAGTCTTGAGCCTTCTCAGCCTCTTCAGACAGTACTATCTTATGGTTCTAAAAATTTCTGAGTCCTTATAGGCCCATTACATTGTAATAAGGAAAAGTCGTAAAAATGTCATGACCTCCTGTCTGCATAACTTGTTTAAAAAGTGTATTTTAATAAGGTATGTTAACAATTTAAATAAGATTTTCCCATTGTGTCCATAGATAAAGCGGAAAAATTTGTATACATACACATAGAATAAAAGCTGTTCTCAAAACTTTCGGAAAAGGAAGCTTTTCTGTTCCTTGGCAGAAAGCTATAAATTATACATATAAAAATAAACTATACCCAGTTGAACTATTATTAGGCTGTAATTTTAACCTATCAATTCCTAAAACCATGCTGTGCAGGCTCCTCTTTTATGGTTTACAGCCTCAGAGGCATCCCTCTGGTACTTATTTTAAGGTTATTTTTTATTCTCTATTTAGAACCATTTCAGACCTAGAGCTTTTTTTAAGGTTCTATGTGCCATTTCAAACATAAAAAAAATACATGGGAGTACCATTACAGATTTTAAGCTGCAGTTACTCCCTGATGAGAATATAAACAATAAAGGAGATTCAGTGCAAGACCTGTGAACATAACTGAGAAACAAAGATAAAAATGTTCCGTTTCATTAGATGTCTACTTATACTAAGCAGTTTGAGCCTTTTAAAGATCTAGAATATGAGGATAAGTTTTGTCTGTCCAAATAGTTGGGTGTCTTTCTATTGTACACATATTTCTAAGCCCTAAATCTTGCAAGATATTTGATTATTTGGAGACATTTTGGTGTACCACACACAGCTGGAAAGGAGAAGAGAAAGTTGTTTCACATGTGAATTAGGACTTCTGTAGGCAATGAGTCAATCTATAACCATTTCCAAAATCTGTTTTCAGTTTACTTTTGCTTTTCTTCCTCTCGTCAGTAATGCTACTGGCCTGAAAACCAGAAGTGGAGAAATGTACTTGACTGGATATTCTCAGGCAGATCACATCCAACTAAATAATGCCTCTATAGTCCAAAGAAACAGTTTAACTGCAGCCAAATATATACCTCAAGTACATGGTTGCTTGAGAAAGACCAGATCACACAGTTCAAGTCTTCAGAAACAAACAGTTCCAGGTGTAGGCATTGTTGTCTGGTCTGATTTCGTTCCAAGCAGCAATTACCAGTGTTCTTAAGCTAATTTTATTCTAATTTAAATACTGTCAGTAAAAACAGGTGTTTTTAGTTTCTACTTTCTTTCCCATCTCCTTTCACTTCCCAAGACATTATGAGCATCCCAACGTTAAACAATGCAGGTGGTTGAAATGAGCAGGTGGAGAAGATGGGATGAGTGCAGTGGTACAACAGGTGCTGGGTTTGTTACAAACATCAGTTCACTTAGCAATAAAGAAAACATTAGGAGTCAATAGAAGACACTATAGTCAAAGTCTTGTATTTACTACATGTTTGCCAAGATCTTAATGAAGCTGCTCTTATCTGAAGGAATAAACCCCCAAAAGTGTAACATTGGTTTACCTGCAGAAAATTATTTTATAGCCTCAGGAAATGATTTTCTTTTGACGACGCAAGTCTAAACAATCCCAGTTTCCACCATTTTCTACAATTTGGGACAACATATAAGTATGGAAGTATCTTTACCTCATTCATTCTTCCTATAAAAGTGTTAACTGCACCATAAGACATCGGTAACTCACAAAGGATCAGAGAATTATACCTGTAACTTACAGTTAGTCTAAATTCTCTTTACTCAGAAAAGGCAATTAAATATGTGAGTTGAGAGATGAATGTAGTTTCCTTTCACAAGTAGAATTCTCCTTGCTGGTCAGTTCACACCACTGTGAACATAACTCAGCACAGGCTGCAATATTTAGGCTAAGTCAAAGCTTATTACCATTGCTAATCTTTTATCCCACCATTTGCCAGTCCTCTGGGTTCACTTTAGAAAGAGAAGGTTTTGGTTTGAAATCCTGGTTTGAGTGCATTAACAATTACCACTTTACATGTTATCACTTACAGTATCAATAAAACTGTATAAATACATCATTCTTTTTAAAAATATATACGTTTTTCCTGTAGGTTTTTTTTTTTTTTTTTTTTTTTTTTTTTATTTACTGTATTGAAGCGCTCAGTCATAATATTTGTATGAGGAGTACAAGGTTACAAAAACATTGCTAGAGCCAAATAACAATCTATTCTAGCACTTCAGTTTATATTTTAATGAGAGATGATACTTTCTTTTATAATTCTTATGCTGTGGTACAAGACCCCTGGAAGGAATCCAGCTAAGTAAAAGCAAGCTGAACAGTAAGAAATAAAAGTAATTAAAAAAATTGTTTACTACTGAGATAATAATCTTTTGTATTTGTGAAATCACTAATTTGCATTTCTCATCCAGATGAAATTTATGTCGCAAATCATATTTCAAACAAGGAAGGAAAACAAGTGAGGTATTTTTCCTTTAAAAGTCACAAGCCATTGTTGTGGTGGGCATCAGAAGATGTCTAGGACTGAGGTTTTAAACATATCCAGAATACTCTAAATTTCTATCATATTATTCCAGTGATTAATACAGAAGAGACAACCTTTGAACTGAAGCTAACTGATGCTAACACAGTACCCATAGTTTAAATGTATCTGATAGTAAATTACCTTTGAAAGGTCTCCAGCCTCCAAATAGAAGCAGATAACAAACACGTTCCATGAAACCCAAAGGATCAGCCAGACAGCATACTGTAGAAGAGAGAAATGATGCATTAGTAATTTTACAGTCAGCTTAATTAACAGTATTTTGCTAGACCCTCAGTTCAATCCAATTCAAAAACAGACAGTAGGTACTGTGCACATGAATAAAATGTTACATATAAAAAAGAATCAAAATTAAATTCTTGTCTTTCATAGACACAGTCTAGCATGAGCTAATGAGTACTTGGTCACACCAGAAAATCTGTATATGAGAAAACAGATCGTAGACCTAATATTCAAATATGAGACTAATGTCAATCTCTTGTTTTTCTGCTCTCTGTGACACTGCCAAGGGAACATGGAGTTGTGTCAGGAGAGGGGCAAGTGTGGGTTAGGGAAAGGCTCTGCCTGAGAGGGCAGTGGGCGCGGCCCTGAGCTGCTGGAATTCACGGTGTGTTGGGACAATGCTCTCAGACATAGGGTTTGGACTTTAAGTGGTCCTGTGTGGAGCCAGGGGTTGGACTTGATGAGCCTTGTGGGTCATTTCCAACTTACATTACCGTACTTCACAACACTTCAGTTTTATTCTTTGTATTAATTAATATTAATTAATATTTATATTAATTAATTCTGTACTCTCAAGAATACATATATACATTTTGGTTATTTCTACAAAATATGTAGAGATTTTCCTCAGTTGTAACAGCTATATATATAAACATATTTTATGATATTCCAAGTCACAATTAAAAATTATTCAGGAGCCTCCTGAGGAGCAAACTGTTTTTAACTGCCATTTTCTTTTTTGTTGCTTTTAGGTTTAACTACAATGTATAGCATGAGTATTCATGCTCAGAATTTGTTCACTGGTGGTTACTGAAATTCTTATTTGCGTATATTCATGTGAGTAATGGAGTATATTTTTCCTCTTTCTGTCCAATACTTTAATATTATTTTCTCTTCAGAACACCTCATGTACTAGGATTGGAAACTACATTTCGTTTCTGTACTGCTGGAGGATCATGGGTAACAAAGTTTGAGCTGCTATTGACACTGTTAAGAGCAACAACTTTAACAACCTTTGGATGTACAGCTGGTTTTCTAATGATTGTTGTCACTATCCTCTAGTTATTCATAATTCAACTCTGCATGTTTTCTAATTTCATTACGTTCATTGGTACTGCGTATGCGTGAAATACAATGACAAAGATGTGACACGATTCTCTGCCCGTTACAGATGAAGGTTACTTCCTCATTTTATATTAGCAACCCATTCCTGTCAAGTATTTATAGAATTAATGTTTGGTTGTCTTTTCTCTAAAATGAACTAGTTAAATTTTGCTAAGCTACCGTTCTCAATTATGTTTAGCATTATTGAGATTTTTCTGCTTTCCTTTATTCTACCTCACCAACTGATGAAGCAGACAACACTTTAGAATATATGATTTTGTAAGAAGTAGATAGTGTATATCTAACCATTGTTTGTCATGAATGACGATCTCATTCTCTAAATTCAGCAACAACTTATGTGGGATTCTTCTTGCATTTCTCTTTGAAGTGCTGTTTTGCATCAGATTCAATGCCTTTAATGCCTCAGATTTGTGGGGGTTTTTTGTTTTTAAAGAAAATATTAAGTCCATTAATTTGAATTAAGTTACTATGTTTCAAAGTCCATTAATAGCAAAACTTGATCATGCCATTTTTCACTTGATTCTAAATACTGTAAAAACGCCCCTATGCACAGCACATTTAGCAGAAAATTCCAAGGACTTTGGAGCTGCATCTATTAGCAAACAGTCGTACGTTTATATGAAGAAATGAAAGTTCTCTTTGCTGTTATATAGTCTACTTCCTTTTGCAACCACATCCCCATTTCCTCTAAAAGGAAAATTTATCTGTCTTTTAGATATACTTTTTTAATTATCATCTGCTATAATTGGACTACAAATGAGGTTTAAAATATCTTTTAACTGTATTTTTTAAAATTGCTTCCTTTTGAAATGTTATATAAGTGTTTGCTGCCTGAATTCTGTGAATAAACTGAATATAATTATCTCAAAATACAAGAATGCTTCTGCTTCCCACTGCTTCTTATTTCAGGTGCTTCAGATCTAACCTATCTCTTATCTCTCTGGATCACATGCAGTCACAAATGCCTCTTGTTGTCTATGTGTTTCAGCAAACTGCTACAGAAATTCAGCTCTGAAGGTCTGTGACAATGAACAAATCCCTGTGGTACTCTCTATTGTATGTATCTAATTAGAAACACAATTTTTTATAAGGGTTCATCAGAGGGCTATAGATGGTTGTTGTTTTTTTTTTTTCCCCCTCATATGTAAGAGCTCAAGACAGCTGCATTATCTGACAGAAGCATTATCTGACAGAAGCCACCATGGTGTTACAACAGTCATATTTCAAAAAGACAAGAACCTTGATGAACACACTTAACCAAGCATGAGATACTGACAGGAGGTATAGCAATGACAACACTGCTTATTATTTTTATGGAAATATGTGATTTAAAGTGGTATAGCTGGAATGCTAAGCTGAAGCTTAAATGTTTCCTTTTTTAAGCAAAGTTGTAGACAATATATAAAAGGTATTTCTTTCCAGAAAAGAAATTATATATAGAAAGCTCTCAATATTAGAATATTTACCATTCATTAAAAAAAAAAAAAAAGTATTATAGCAATCTTATTTTTTTTTTATTTAATTAAAGCAATTATAGCAATGAGGGATTACGAGAAGAATGACTTCATGATTTATTGATACCATGTAACTTTCAAGTTTGAAAGTTTGCTGTTAATTATCACAAAATATCCTAAGGTGCCTTTTCACTCTTCTTAGTAAGAGGAGATCTGAAGTATTAAAATTCCTGTAATGGTACTAATGTATATAACTCTCTTCACATTTCAAAGTTGGTTGAGGTTCACCATCTCCAGTTTACTAAAAGTGAAAATGATGGCCACAGAAATTAAATAACTAGACTTAATTTCATAAACCAATTGGAAAAATGGTGGTGAGGACACAAGAACTGAAGTTCAAGATAACTCACTACTGCGTTTGATACAGACTTGGTCACCAGAACTGTGTGGTTACTTTGGCTGAAAGAGAAATATGTCGTGTACTTTCCAAGTACAGACTGTAAGCAACTCTGATAGCTGTGAGCTAATTTAAATTTAAACTTTCTTCTCACAAATCTTTACCTTACATTTCTATTACACTCCAATAGCTTTTGGATATGCGAGTCAATTTCAATCACATTTGACTAAAAGATACAAGGGCTTCAGAGCTAGAAGATGTTACCTTATGCAATTCAAAGGCAGCAGTAAACTGAATCATTATTGTGATTAGTGATTTGCTAGATATTTTCTTTCTACAAATGTATATAACTTTAGTCTTAGGTTCCTCCAAAGCTGAAAATAGAATACCTCAGACAGTTTCATATTTAATTCAGGAGAAGAAAACAAAACCAAAACCAAAGAATTAAACCCTAAGAGCATCTCTAAAATGAAATGACATTTACTGTAGGAATTAAAGATTGGATTATTTTTGCTACCTAGGCAACAGTACTTGAGTTGTTCAAAGATCAACCTGAATCCAGCATCTTTTCCCAGTAACACAGTAACAATTGTCCGCAATTATCATTATCTTTGCTTCTGAAGTTATTTTCCTTTAATTTCCCCTGGCTAGGAAAATATATCACTTAAAACCACAGTTTTTAAACTTATCTTTCTTTATCTTTAAGTCATGCCTGATAACAAGTAGAATTCTTGTCATCAACATCTATCTGAACATGCTATCTGAAGTTAATGATAACGTTTGATTCATTTGATTAATCTCTGAGGTGTCTATATCTTTGCTTATCTTCAAAAAGTCCCTCTGAAACAGAAAAAGCTAATATTTGGTAGAGACACTCCTAAACAGGAAACCCCTTTGATTAATTACAGTAAATTTTTGTGCTGTTGTCTAAACCTCTTCAGAATCAAAAAGCAGAAGTTCCATTTTTCTTGTTTCCTCTTTCCTGAGATAAGTAAAAAAACCTCACCCAGACTCACTCAGGAGAAAGCCATCCAATTTGGCAATCACAGCAGCCTGCAGGGTGACCTCACACGGCCATCTAGTAGGCACCATTCTCTAACTTAATATGCGCCTTGTTGTACGCTTTCTTTTCCACTGCCAGAGTCTTTACCCTGAGAAATTACATAGCAGACATTCAGTTCAGGCATTGTGGTACTGCACTGAGTCCAGCCCTGGTGGCTGGAAGGAACCAACCTTCAGCAAGAAGCTTCCAGTGCTGAGAAATGTTAGGGACTACTGCATCTCCAGATAGTAATCAGGAACAAAATCTGCACCCAGGAGAGATTTAGTTATTGAATACATCTCCGCTTAAAGAAAAAACATTACTCTCAGCAACCAAACACAAATAGCAACCACGCTCTGCTTTTAATGATCTAGATGAAAGTCTTTCCTGCACAGCAGTTATCTACAGTCCACAATGAACAAGAGCTCAAGGCCAAAGCCAGTAGCCTTGACAACAAATAGCAATGTTCCTGGCAGCAGAGGACTTTATGCAACGAAGCCAACTTCAATGTTATTCTCTTCCTTGAATGTACTAGCAAGATCTTGTGGAAAGACAGAACTTTCTGAATCTTTTCATTGTTCGTTAGTTGCCACGGCTTGTAGCTTGCACTAGTTTTGCTTGACTGAATTCTTCATATCATCAGGACTCAGGTTTTTCTTGCTGTTTTTCACTTTTTTAATCATGGCTACATTGCCAGAGCACTGTCCATCTTTCTGAGTTTCTGTTGACAAGCTAATATGTATTGATTTTGTAGGATACATTTCTGAGTAGTTGGAGTTTTCCTATTCAAACTATAATGACGGTCTAGTTTGTATACTTGAGTTTATCAAGGAACATTTTAACCCTCCAACATTACTAAGTTTTGCCTTTTCACCCTTCCGTCAGTCATAAATGAATATGTATTTTCACCTTCCCTTTGCTTCCTCGGGTAAAAAAAAAAAGGAAGAAAAAAATTATGATGTTT